TTATCAGTGCATGACCATACTACCATAGAAAATAAAGGATTTAGGCATATGGTGCTTGAGCACTACAATGTACCCTCATGTGTTCATTTTAATCAGTCTGTTGTGCTGCCCTGTTTGAACGTGCTCAATCTGCAGCTGTTCAGTAAATTATCAACAGGTCAGGTCAGACAATGGAGCATCACTGACATTTGTGCAATTTATTTTTTGTCATTGAAAATATGCCAGTATTTGAGTGTATTAACTGTTTTAATTGAGCAGAACTAATGAGCTACTGCCAAATTTTTCCACATTTTTCAAAATTAATCACAAAAATGCAATTTAAAAAAAACATTTGCTTTCCCTGCTGTAGGCTACAGAAAAAGTACCGAACCACAGCCCGGAAACCAAGGTACATACCGAACCAAGAATTTTGTGTACCTTTACAACCGTAGCACACACATGCACACACATACACCAATAGTGATTAAGATGCTTTAGGACCCGATGTTTATAACTGGCATACCAACTTTACTTTTAATGTTCTTTGGCATTAACCTCATTTGTGTCATATCAGAAGATGCTGAACAAAGGATTTATCAGCTCAACACAATATTAATCTCGAGAATACAAAGACTATGTGTAGATAAAAAACATATTATCTTCACTATCTTTTTACTGCTGTTTGCATTCCCCCAGACAAAAATGTAATGTTAATTCTTTATGCAGAACTATTTCCTGGGCGTATATACAAGTATATACGTATATATAAATTCTAATTTATTATCTAATCTAAACAATTTGAATTAAGTTTACATTTTTAAATAAATGTTCTAGGTGAATGAATGAAGAGACAACAAGTTTAATTCAGTTGTGCAACTTTGTGTTGTATAATTAAATTAAACAATTAAAATAACCTTGATCCCTGATAACAATATATACAGTCAAACTAATTTAAAAGGAATCCTTCACCATCAAAACTATATGTTCTGCATAGTTTACATGTTTTGAAGGGTATTTCTTAAGAAGAACTTCACCTCCACAAGACTCTTTTGAACTCTTAAATGAAACATTCACATTTCCTTTTCAGCCTCACGGTGTCCAGACTTTACAATGAATGCAATGAATAGCATATTTATTTGTTTAAAACCCCAACATGAGTCTGAAATATCTGCTATCTTTATCATGTCTCATTCATTGCTCTAAGTCGAGGCCAAAAAGGGTTCCTCCTGATCAAGGATACCCGCATCAGGCTTTTGATGAGACTGAATCGTAGCCTGGAAACAAGTCAGTGTGGTGGTTGGCCTGCCAGTGAAGTCTGGTTTTGGATCAAACTCAAGGCTGGGAGTCAAACTCTCTCAATCAAACCCTTTTTTCCAATGTTCCCACTAATGAACGTCACTAATTGATTGAAAACGCTGGTGGGAGGGGATGAGCAAGCAGGGTGCTATAGTGTGAGAGAGTGAAGGGGGTTTGAACACAAACAGCGGCTGGATTGGGTCCAGACTGATGCAGGGGCCCACAGCGGAGAGCCCTGAGTATTGTACATAGAGGAGAGCATATAATACAGTATAGTGCGGATTAGACACATAAAGGGACAGACAGCTCTGACCCTCTGAAGCCACCCCCCTGCTGAGAGTGAAAACACTTTGGAGTTAATTACAATAATTCCTGTGGGTTGAATCATGGTGTGCATTTGTGGCCTATTATAATAGGAATACATGTTTAGTATACATTGTAGATACATCACACTGGCCTTTTCTTCTTTTTGTCTTAAACTAACAATATGCAAGGGAATAAATCTGAGCCACGAAGAAAGTAAATGCATCACGTTACCTTCAACTGCAAAGAAACACATGTCCTTTTTCAGGCTAGCTTGGGTATGCAATCACTGCACTCTTCTATTGGGAAGAGTGAGGTCACCATCCCTGTGGAAAAATCTAATTTGATCGCTCATATCTGCAGCGTAATTCTTTCCAACACAATCCAAAGCTTGTGACCAGCAGGTGAACAAAGATCAACCAGCAAATCAAAAGCTTTGCTTTGTTGTTCAGTTCTATCTTTACCATCACAGGCACCTGACACACACTCAACCCCACCATCCATTTCACCCTCACTAATGGAAAAAACCTCAAGATATCTGCGCTGATCCACTTTGGGCAGTTGTTATCTGGAAGGAAAAGGCCACATTTTTCAGAGGCAGCGTCAAAGCTTCCACTCAGATCCATTGAGGTCAAACAGACAATGCTTGAACTGGGGTAGTAGTCAAAGGTATGGCGCACCAGCCCATTTGATTTCTGTTCAACTTGTTACTCAGTTGCTTCAAATGAATGTAGGTATTATTATTGTATTATTATTATTATTATTATTATTATTATTATTATTAAGTGGCAGTATAAGGCAATTTCTTGCTCAAACAAGTCAAAAGAGGGAGTAAAAATGTGCAGCTGTATGAGACACAAACTGTGGCCTGGTTTGTTTCTGAAATCTGGAGCCCAGCATTCGACACAGTCTGATTCAACACAATGCAATTCAACGTGTTACAATGCAATACAAAAGAATATGATGCCATGCAGTTTAATATTGTTCAGATAGTTGGATTTTATTCCTTTAGTTCTTCTTAAGCAGCTAGAGAAACAGTTTAAAGAGGAGGAATCAATCTAAATATAAAATGATTGGTCACATTTCCAAACAAAAAAGGCATAGGGCCTCTACTAATACTTGTATATAAATAAATCTAATGCTGATGATGTTAGAAACAGTGCATCGCGAGTTAATCCCAAATTGTATTCAATGCACATTTTTTTATTTGGGTGATCACATCTTTAACTTTTATGCCGGTGCACCGATGTGACTTAACATCCCTTATAGGCTGATTGCTTGTCCAACCATAATGTCTCATTCCACACATGTTAAATACAGAATATGTGACATCTGGGTAGTGAGTCTTTGGAGTTATTTAAAGTTCCAGTGTGTAACATTTAGGAGGATCTATTGGCAGAAATGGAATATAATATTCATAGGTATGTTTTATTGGTGTGTAATCACCTGAATATAGGAAATCGTTGTGTTTTTGTTACCTTAGAATGAGCCGTTGTAATATACAAGCCTTCCTTGGAGGCCACCATGTTGAAACACCATGTTTCTACAGTAGCCCAAAATGGACACGCCAAGCACTGACTGTAGATACGGCCCTTTGTATTTTTTTAAAGTTTCACAGCCATTGTAGTTTCTCATCCACACTTTAAAGTCTGTTCTCATTCCCAGGTCTTCAAATAAAGACGCAAGTGGTGTTCAGTTAGTTGCAATCTTTTCTTTTTTTTTAAGATTTATAAGATATTTTAACACATGTATAACCCAGACAGCCTGAATACCATGAAAGGGAAAGATATATATATGTGTGTGTGTGGCTCCTGCCAGAAGTAATTTTGTTGTGTCACCACCATGACGAAAGTGACACACCATAGGCAGATGATATAACATTTTGGTGCGCCATGTCAAGGTCACATCTATGTTTACTACCTTTACATCTTGTAGCAAGGGGAAGGTCATTCACCAGCGGCCAATTTAAAGTATTAAATTGCCAGCAACCATCAGTGTGGGATGTCTGCTTTTTATTTGCCCATTGCACTTATTCTACATTGTCACACCACACAAAGCACAAATGCTGGGTTGGTGTAGGGTAGAAGGAACTTATATTTTCAGAGAGAAATGGTCACATAGGAGACACAAAACGTCAAGCAGCAACAGTAATATTGTCAAAAAAAAGTGAAGTCTGTCACACTGGGGCTGATTCTGCTTTAAGTTTTAGATGTGGCCAGATTATAATAGTAAGTCCCACATTGTTGAGATGTCTCAAATATGGCTGCATACTCTTCTGTTCTGTGAGAAGTGGAAGGTGTTTGACTGGTCAGCAGAGTAAAAGTGTGCAAGGCAGCTGCTGAAATGACAGCATACCAAGCCTGCTGGAATCCACCACATCCACCACATCCAAATAGGAGGTGGCAGCTTTTGTTTCCCCTCTTCAAAACTCAGGCCTTAATACTTACAAAACTGCAAGGGCTTGTGGGAATGAGGGTACATTTAAAAGACAAAATCGTCTCAGGAATTTTCTTTTAGAGATGAGTTCTTATTAAATAGGTTTATATCTGCACTTTTTTGTTAGCATTAGATGCTTAACTGCAGGTTTAGACTGGTAAAGAACATTTACTCAGGTACTGTATTTATGTTAAAAATGTATGTACAATTATACTAACTATTCCCATCTGATGCCACTTTATTCTTTTTTCTACATTAATAGCTTATGCTCGGTACTTTACAAATAAAACATTTACATAAAAAAACATATGATGAGCTTATGAAATAAAATGCATGATTAAAGCAAATTACCCAGTAGAATTTTAAATTAGCACCACCCTGACCATAGAAAAGTGTTAATTAGGCATGATTTGATAATATGTAAATAAGTCTAACTCTCAATACTTTAACCTTTGATACTGTAAGTACATTTTTCTAATACTTACTTTTACTTAAGTAACATTTGAAAGCACGTCTTTGATTGGGTTATTGGAAAAAGGGAATAATTAATTTAACGAACACTAAATTATCAATATGAATTATATTATTATTATTATTATTATTATTATTATTATTATTATTATTATTATTATAAGGAGCAGTAAAAACGAAAAAAGACATTGGTCTCTTATCTTGGCTGCGCCTCATCAATTGCGCATTCATTTGTTTTCTTGATAGCAACAGGCCCGACGGACTGAGCACAGATGCAGATTTATTTTATTTCATATATTTTTCAGGCCATGCGAGCATTTTAACACTGTGCGAACTTCTAAACCGACAAAACTTACTCGCTCATCTGAGTCCGTCTGCTCAGCTGCATTCTAAAGGCTGATTGTGTCGCACAAAACAAAACAGCAAACTTAATGAATATTAGATAGAGTACAGCTTTAATGGGGTTTACATGTAAAACGTATCACGGATGTTAAATAAAGAAAACCTCAAACAACTTTTTTGATATCTTAAATTAAATTTATTCAAAAACCAACGACTTAATGGACAGGAGTAAAATATTGTGCTCATAGACAATATCACTTATAAACAAACGTATACAACACTTCTCCACTGAAATGTGAAATATCATACTTTACACTTCTTTACATAGGCTATAACTGCAATCAATACAATTTTCTTTCTCTAGAAATAATTCCTTAAATAAAGTGGGCGCTGCTGCTGCTGCTTCTTCAAGAACAGCGCGCCTCGGCAAGAAAGTGCAAATTTAAGTACAGTGTGTTAAATGAGGCGCAGGGAACCAGAGACCTGTAATGAAGTCATGGAAATAAGTTCGTTTCAATAATAATCATTATGCATCTGTTGAAATGAAATGCCCATTGCTGTTTTTAAAGTGCAACTGACAGTTTAGAAAGGAGGATGGGAATATCTGTTGCCCATTTTTATTCACAATAGAAAACAAAATAAAAAAAGAATCTAATTCTTTTGCGGCCCATAAATTCACAGAATATCCAGTCTGATGGAATGCAGTGCCTTTTCTTTTTTGTTTTTGTAATTTGTTTGCAAACCCATAGATCCTTTGTCAGAGGGAGACATATTACCAAACACAGACCGCAACAGATATATCTAATTTAAGAAGTCATTTAGTCTCATACAGGCTTCCATGTTGTTCAGCAGTGACTGAAAATGTCTGTAAGTGATTTTGGATCATTGTTTTGATCATTTAGTGTGCAGTTGCTCTGATGGTTCTGCGGAAGTGTCAGTATTTTCAAACGCAGCATGTAAAAGACAGATTTTTTTCCTCTCCATTTGCATAAACAAAATATGAAAACAATTATGGTGACTTGCATTTGAAACTAACGAAAATATCTGCTACACCCCTTGCAGACTCTAGCACGTTAAAGAAATCGTGCCAAAACCCAAAGGCCACAGATTCTTTTTTTCCCCCTTTTTTTTTTTTTTACCTGCCCGATTACTGTGAATAACAACTTAATCTATTGATAATGATTTTTCCCTCGAATAATGTCATGATGGAACAACAAACCAAAATCCCCTCTTAGTCAAAAAAAACAACATTTCAACTGTTTGGAAACATTTGGTTGCATGGAGGCGCCCTTGGGTCAATGTCTAAAATGTAAAAATTCAAGATTCAAGTCTAAATGTTTCGTTGTGTACATAATTGAAAGTCAATGAGCAGTCTCTCTGTGCGCATGAAAACACCTCAGTCATTATTTTTGCTCGACTCCTGGTCGCTCTGGTCGTCGGTGAAGCACACGTCCACATCACTGTCATTGTCGCTTTTGTGCTCCGCGTCCTCGAACAGGCCGCCCGGTTTGTCGTCCAGTTTCTTAACGGTCTGTCCGGGATGCCTGGACTTGACGTGCCTCTCCAGGTCCCGCCTCCGCACCAGCACCTTGCCGCAGAAGTCGCACCTGTAGGGCGTGTTCCCCTCCGCGTGGAGCCGGATGTGTTTGTTCAGGTTGCTGGGGTCTCCGAACGGCCTGAAGCACACTTTGCACTTGAGCGGCTTGTAACCTGTGTGAGTCCTCATGTGGATTTTCAGGCCGTATTTCCTCGAGTACAGCTTACCGCAGTACAGACACAGGTGTCCCTTTTTCGGTTTGCCAGAGCCGACGTTGCTGGCACTCCCGGCGGGCATCGAATCCAGCCTCGTCCGGTTCTTCTCCGCGGCGATTTCAGACAGCTGTTGCGTGTGCATGGCGATCTCCCGGTCGATGTTGGTGATTGAGCCCAGGTCTTGGTTCATGGAGGGCGCACCAAAGTAGGACATGGACTCCGGGTACTTGAGGAGGTTGCTGAAGTGAAATTTCAGCGGATAGTAGGGTGAGCTGTACAGAAGCTCCCCGTTGTAGACGGTGAAGGGCATGAGTGGGATGTTACAGTCTCCACCGTAAGTCTTGACACCGTCGAAGTGAGGGAGAGAGAATCTCTCGAAATGGAGTCCAGGGGGCATCTGGGGGTAACGGGACGGGGACAGGCCGGAGTGCATCCGGCTGTCCACGTGCTTAAAAGCTGAGTTCTCCTCCACGTGAGGCAGCAACGGGAAACCACGGATAGCGTTTGTGCATGGCACCATTGGGGATGCGGAGTCCATAATTGCAGGTGCGCACTTGGGAGGGTGGTTCCCCCCTCCGTTTAGAGTCTCGCCTGCATTGCGGATTGGTTTCATGTTTCCAATGAGTTTGCTGAATCCCAGGCCGCTCAGCTTCACATTTGCGTCCTCTCTGGAGGCGTCCGCGCCCGGGACTTTGGAGACGCCGGTCGGTTTGAAGGCAGAGCGCACACCCGGGTGGAAGCCCATGCTGCTCAGCACCGAGGATGTGGAGCCGAGGCCGAGGATGTGCCCTTGGTTCCTGGCTGAGGTAACGCTCATGTCGAGGGCCCTGTCCTGCTCCACTGAGCTGCTTTTCTTTGACAGCCCCGCTTTGTTTAGAAACGGCGAGGAGGACACCGCCCGCCTGCCAGAGTCTGAGATGGAGGAGTTACTGTGAGCGCTCCTCGGAGAGGTGGAGGTGTTGGGGATGTCTCCAGACTTTGGTGACCTGCTGAAAGTCTCCGTGCCTCTGGCCTGCTCGCTGCTCACAAAGCCCCGTCCGTTGCTCAGGGCGCAGTGGAAGTGGACGTGGGCCTTGAGTGTGTTCGGATATTTGAATATTCTCCAGCAGTACCAGCAGATGTAACGCTCCTCACCTGTAGAGACAACAAACACGACAATGGTCAGATGAATGCGCATCATTCGGTCACACAACACAGCGTGAAGCCAGTTCGCACTGATGGCAAATAACAGTATAAACAATTAATCCCGTGCGTAAAATGCCCAGTCGGTGCGTAAAATGAAAGTAACAGGCTTGGCAACCTGTAGAGAAAAGACCTGTGAGCGCCTGCACAGACGTGTGGGGGTTACTTGTCTTTTCCCCTGATGACACAACACGCGCCCAGAAATTGAGCAGAGGGTGTGAGGTAATTGAAAATACATTTTGCAAGACATTGGCATCAAAATGGCCAAATCCCTTTAAAGAGCAACATGTCCACCAGTCACTGCTGCGCATCAGCTGAAATTTAAATTTAGGCCTAATGGATATGATCCGGTTTCTAAGAAGTGATGCCAAATGGTAATAGACACAGGAAGCCATCTCAATGACCCCCAGACGAGCACTCAGAGGTTAATATAGTTGTAATGATTTTGTAATCCTCGTACGGGTCATTGTTTATGATCGACATCAAAAGAGCAAACGCCCTGCCCAATCTGCCGCTCAGAAACCAATGCATTGAATGCGGGACTTTCCCTCTCTGTGCTCTTTCCCGTGGAAGTGACAGCAGCTGTTGCTTGAAATCGCAAGTCTCCAGAAACAATGGCGGCGGCCCATCTGTTGACGCCTAATAATGGGAGCGAGCGTATGTCCAGGAGCGCACACGGTGTGTTGGGCCGGAGAATCAGGGCAATATACACCCCACATAAAAGTTAGCATTCATTAGGCCACAATACCTTGACGCACCCACCTAATTTACCGTGAAGCATTTGTTTTTGAATTTATTTGCTTTTGAATACATGAATATTAATGACGAGGTGACATTTGTTAACCTCCGTCTCGCAACTGAATCACCAGCCTCTTCTTCTTCCACGGCCGCCGAGACACGTCAGTTTCTGCTTTAATTGCTTTTTTTTATTCAGTGTTTCAAGCACCCTAATTACATTATCACATCATTATTTTTTTTCTCTCGAAGCAAGTTTGATATCATTTTTTTCCTTTTTCTTTTACATTTGTTCAATGAGTTAAGAGGACCTTCCAGGTTCGAATAAAATATACAAACCAAAATGGCCAATTGATGGAATTCCCTGCAAAGTGTCTGTTGATAATAATCTTATTATTATTATTTTAAAACGGATTAGTTCCTGCTGAGCTGCTGTTTTGCCAAGATCAGGGAATAATCCCCAAGCGCAAACGCCAAATTGTCATTATCAGCCCAAACAAACAGATTAAAACCCTGAACGCAGAGGAAGGAATATCTGTGGTCATTAAAGCTGAGATTAGTGCCTTATGAATTGGACGCTGTATTCTCAGTCATGTGCTGTCTCTATATTCGTACAATCTGATTTATGTTTGCTGTTCACTATTTAATTATTAGCGACCCAAAAAATTGAAGGCTGCACATTTATCAGACTTTATACCGACCCAATCATTGCAGGCCTGAAGCTACATTTTCACCTCTTTATTTAAACGAATTGAACCCCCCCCTAAAAAAGACTCTTAACTCTTTTCTTTTTTTTTCCTGAACGACAAAAATGGCAACTTTCTCAATTCTACGTTCAATAAACGAATGAATGATAAAACAAAATTAATAAACAGGCTGCCTGAGGAAAAACAAAAACCAACATCCAATCGATTTCCATCTCTGGGCGATAAAGGAGAGGCATCACGGGTATTGGCAGTCATTTAACTGTGCACTGATGGACCCCTCAACATGTCGATGCTGTGTCAGTGTAAAGCTCACAGTTTGCCCCCTTTGTTGCCCGACACCAGGATTAATATTCAATATCTGTATATAATAATAAAATAATAAATAATAATAAAAAGGTGAAAGCAGACATTTAAACTGCTGAGACTGCTACCTTACCGCAGCCTATTTTTATGTGGTATTTGAAATGCTTTATCATTATTATTATTATTATTATTATTATTATTATTATTATTATCCCCTCCCCGGATCATTATAAGCAGTCTGATTTACCTTTCTCGTCGTGCGTGGGGGTGGCCGTGGTGGGGATGTCGTACCACTGGGCCAGAGCGTTGGAGTACCAGACACTGAGCTCCTCTCCTGCAGGGATTTCTCTCAGCACGCGGTAGAAAATCTGAAAACAGAAAATCAGGAAAGAGGATCAGAGAGGCTGGAGTTAACTCAACTGTCCAAAAGTGGAGGGGGGTGGGGGGGGACTTTGGCCTTGAAGATGTGCTGTAATGGAAACTCACCTGTCCGCCAGGTAAGTCCGACACAGCCTCCAGGTTTTGCTCCTGGCTGTTCCTGGCAGCGCGGATGAATCCGATCCAGTCTGGCACGGGACAGCCCGACTCATCCACGAACTCCCCCCGTACCAAGCGGATCTAAGCCAGCAAACAGACGATCATAATGAGCACGAGCTTGACAACTGACCACAGTATGATTGGAAATATGAACAGCAAGGCCCTTGAACACCTCACGGACACAGATTGTAACGAATGTCTGAATGAATATAGGCCTCGTTAGAAACACAGTTTGGCTTATTTAAGTGCAACATTTTATTTCCAAGCTTTTTCTACTAATAATCGAATTTATTGTTTCTATTCATATAGGCCTTTTTCCTTTTTTTTTACATTTTATTTATCAAATTGTGGCCCCCATATTGGCGCTTAGGACTGTCTTCTGCTTTATCACCTGGAGGTGCTGCGGCCACGCCTGGCCAAAACGCGCTTAATGCGTCTTTATCCGCTCTGGTGATAATTTACTAAAGAGAATGACACACGGGCCTAATTGAGTTGATATGGGAAACGAATTTGAAGAGTGTCAGAGCGTTTCTAAACTGTTCAAGGACATTAAAGATCGAAGCGCGACATTTGACACAGAGATTGCACCTGATGATCGCCCGCAGCCCGGGGCCACGCATTTAGACGCATCAATCACAGCCGCTGACAGCTTCAACAATAACAGGGTGCGGTTATAGATGCGCTTAGAACCACAAATTGTGTAAAAATAACTGTTTGCAAGTTGGATTTTTGAAAGTGTCTTATATTATAATATTTAATGTCTGGAGACTTTTATTTTCAAATTCTTCGCTCCTCTGGAAACATTATTTACCTCCACACTGCTGTTAATCTGAATAATCCCAGCCCAATAACATAAGTACAGTTGGTTTAATTTAATGTTTTTATCACTGTTAATATTATTATTATTATTTCTCCTAGCCTCAGGCGGCGGGCCACGGTCTCAGTGGCATCTTTCTATGGCCGGATTACATTAAAATTAAACGGCTCATCGGGATAACAGGCCCGCCAGGCAGTGAAATGTGAGGCGGCTGAGGGCATGAAATCCCACACAGCAGACCCGGGTCGCCCATTAGGCCGGTTAAGTAGAAGCACAGACTGACAAGTCGGCCACTAATGGAGCTCAATTATTTCCAACTTGACAGGCCAAACCAATTAATAACCGAGGGCCCGATGGAGTTTGACAGTGCGGCTTTAAAACCCCAAATCCAGTCCGATGTTTTTAATATTACACTGCAGGCGCACACTCGCGGAAAATAAAATAGTGTGTTTGGATATTCTATGTATGGATATATAATATTTTTTGTAATCAATGGCGTAAAATTTGCTCCCAAAAACTTGTAGGCCTGGTAAAATAGTTTGAAAATAGTTTTTAAAGCAGTTTTGGAATAATTAAATTGGTAATGAATAAATAATAAAAGCTGATTTTAAATATAGCAATTCAGCCTCTATTCAGAGCTTTCCAACGCACCTGATTGACCCGCATCACCTCAAAATATTGTGAAATAAATGCTGTAAAAAAAAACCTCAACATAAAATCACACCTATAACCTAGAGATAAACTTTTTTTCAGTCTTTGAAACTAACCTTCTTCTTGGGTCCAGCTTCCTTACGGTCCGACACGTACTTCCCGAGTTTGAAGATACCCGGTACCGGTCCTATCCGGAGCCCGGCCGGGATGCTGCAGTCCGCAAACACACTGACTGTGGTGGACGCCCGGGTGGCTTGCATGGCGTGGGGTGAGATCAGAACCATGAAGACTGATGGAGACCGAGTGTGAGAGTGCAGGGAGGGAGGAAGAGGAGGAGGAAGAGAGGATGAGGACCGGCCGATATCCGCCCTCAAAGTGACGCGTTGGCGTTATGCTCTCCGGCTTTTCTAGTGGTGGTGCAGGCAACCCCCCACCCTCCCCTCCACACACACACACACACACACAAACACACAAACACCCTCCACCCCTTCCGACCTCTCCAGCTTAGGATGCAAGTGTGTGAGTGTGTGGGAAGAAGGGGGGGGGGGGTTCGGAGAGGTGCTGCTGTGTTGTAAGGTAGTTTATAGGAGGAGGGGGGTTGCGGTCCTCCTGAGTTTGCAGCAGCAGCAAGTAGAAGGAGTGCGTGTGTGTGCGTGAGTGAGTGTGAGAGAGTTGGGCTCTCCCAGCAGCTGTGAGGAGAGGGAAAACGGGCCGGCCTGGTCACATGGAGACTTTCCCTCACCCCGCCGCATAATGAATTGCTCCAAAACGGTCAAGAGACACAAAGGGCCAGGCGACCTTCCCATCCCCAAAATCCAATTTGTCAAGGGCAGAGAAAAGAGGGTGCAGAATCAAAGGTCCAGAGCGACCATTAATCCTCAGCATGTGGCTTTGTCCTCCAGACAGTTCCGATATTTTAACTGACAAATCCACTGTATAATTTATCCATAAATCCTCACCCTTTTCCATTCTTCCCTTTCAAGCCAGGTTTTGGAAATCAGTGCCTACTTTAAATCTACTTGGCTGGCATTCTTTGGGTTTTATACACTTCAAAGCGCTTTATTCTCCCTCCTCCTTTGTGTCCTTAGTGTAACAAAAGGAGCAGGAAAGTTTAGAGGACTTGTTAACTTCTATTGACTCTCGGCGTGTGCCGGGTTGAGATCAGGCAGGTACTGAAAAGGGAGAACCACCAGCAGGAAGAGAGAGAGAGAGTGAGAGGGAGAAAAATAACCATCCCCATCTTTCCAACGCACACACACACACACTTGTGGTTTTCTTGTCTTCCTCATTCAACACCGGTATTCTGCTGTGTGCGAGGCAAGAAAAAAAAATACAATGATTCAAATATTTTTATGATATTTTTGGTGTTAATTACATTTGTTTACCTTTAGGTAGCTCAATTCAGGTAAGAAATATTCATTTATATTATATATATATATATTTTTTTTTTACAGTCCACTATAAAATATATGACAAATATTGAGCTATACAGAAATGTGACTACAATGTCAAGCAGCAAAAATCTTTACAGGACTACTATGTAGATAAATTATGAAGACATTAGAGGAAGATCCGAAATGTAAGTAAAATAAAATATTTTGTTTAATATTGTCATATTGTAGTCAAAAAGCCCCTATAGGAATTTGATAGGAATTATTGATTAAACGAATCCTGGGGTGGTATTTTGCAATATAAAAAAAATCTAAATGCAATCTGTCTTGAGAAAATCAAGGTAGCCTCGCTTTAAGCTTTGTGATTCTCAGATAGTCCAGTTATATAATTTAAAGTCTGTCAGAAAGATCGTTTTTTGCTGTCAGTTTATCTGAAAAAATTGAAATTGCCAAATATGGAGACAGAGGTGTTTTTCACTGTAGCTACAGTGTGAAGAAGCAAAGTAATAAAATGCAGCAACCGACTCTAACTTTTAAGGAAGAATTTTGGTGAACTTATATCAGTCCAACTGTAACCCCATTAAGATCATATAACATCACACATATTACTTCAGACCACATAGCAAAAGGATCCAAACGCCTGATAAGATTGAGTCACTTGTTGGCTTGCAAACAGCAATCACTTGTATTAATGGCATGTTGAGATGTGACTCCGTGCAGCAGCTTGTTTAGAGCGCTGCGATGCTGCGGTGATGATGAGTCTGACCAGAGAAGAAGGACAAGGACCTGTGGGCGATCAATTCAGACCATGAACATGCTGACCTCTGACCTGTCTACTGCGGACTTTGATTCTCAATCAGCACAAGTAGCCTCCCCTAGACCTTTTAAAACAATAATATGGTATAATAAAATGTCCAAAGGTTTTATGCATGCATGCAGTATTTGATATATTTATAGAATGAATCCAGTTCAGAATACAAACAAAACACAATCAACAGTTCACTTTAAATTATTGCTCTCATTCATTCATTCATTCATTCATTCATTTAGATTTTTTGTGTTTCTTCACTTTGCGTTTTAATGTCCCTAAAACCATCTAAACGGTTATGGTAGTAGGCTATAATAAAAAGCTGTAAATTAACTAATACACATTAATCTCTCTCTCTCTCTCTCTCTCTCTCTCTCTCTCTCTCTCTCTCTCTCTCTCTCTCTCTCCTCTTCTTTCTCTCTTTCTCCCCCTCTCCTCCCCGCGCGGTCAGAGCCAAAGAGCCTGAACGACACGCGAACAATCTCATCAATAGGCGCAACGTTTGCGCCTGGCTGTGCGGAGGGGTTATTTATTAACGCCTCGCCATTTGCGGCTGGTTCCCATCCACCCCTGCGCTGCTTTAAAGGCCCCGCACTTCTCCACAGTGAAATTAATTAATTATTCTCCGAGGAAGGAGGGGGGCGAAGGAGGCGAGGACGTTTCCTTTCTGTTTGCGGAGAAGTCGCTGTGGTGGTGAATCCCCGCTCCACTGTGCGCTCTGAAGCCTTGAAGAGCAGTCAAAAGGCTCGGTGTCAGAGTGAAAACAGTGTTGGAAGCAAATGGGATGGAAAATTAAATGAAATTAAATGGCTTGACCGGCGGCATTGTTCCTCCTCCTTTCTGAAAAGAAAAAGACACATTAATTACATGGTCGGAGCTTTATTCCGGGACAATATTGCGGAGTCGATCAACAGCATTCCGCAAGTGCGCTTCTCTTAAACGAACTCCGCAAGTCTTTAATAAACTTAAATAACGACCTGAGAAGAATCGGAGCTTGGAGAGGAGGGAGACGTTTTTATGGGCGGCTCTGCCTGGCTCTTGCCAGCCTTTTTTGGATTTTAACTGTCTAAACGGTGGGGCTCTGATTTAACTGGTTGGCCATTAATGAGCCATGAATATAGAGGAACAACCTGTCTGCAAAGCAACGCGGTAAATACAGAGAGCAATGCCCCACCAGGGATCTCCATTCATGCTCCCTGACTATACTTCAGGGGTGCGAAGGGTTCACCACCACCTCTCCTGGACTGGTTTCAATGGCCTACCATTTAAGACCCCTCTGAGCTTAGAAGAAAACACATTTTTTATGTCGACCCATAAACTTTGTTCGGGTCTTTTCAGAGGAGCCCAATCATTGTCCCACTTAGCAATGTGGCCTATTTCTCACAGATTCCCACGTCTTAGAAATGACTTTGTGTTTGTCTACATCCATTTATTTCTCCACATGTAAGCCCACACCTTCGGCACCTCTCACATTTATTTAGTCACACGTCTTTTAATTTGAAAAAACAAAGACAAGTTAAAATTCTCATGCTTTAGACAGACTGAACTCTGTCCGGCTAAAGAACCAGAACTTCTTATTATTCCTTTCAGATCTGAGCCCGCTCTCATACAAAGAGAAAGAGCTTTGGACAGGCCTGTTCATCTTATTCCTCGCCTTTCTTTTCTTTACTCCAAAGCAGTCCCCTGTTCATATTTAAGGTGTTTTACTTTCTGAGAAACCTGGGGAAAGACGCAAGCTGCCCCAAAGGGCGGACCAGCTGCCTTGATGCGGGTGGGACATTAGCGACGCGTTTGAATAGTAATTATGCTTGTATGGGACTCCCACCAGATGACATGATTGGGTTTTAACCCAGACTAATATTCAAAATCGCATTAGAGAGGAGCCGAATAAACGGCACCTGATTCAACGCTGTTCATGCGTGATTTCATTCAGAAAGCCTCCTCTCTCTCCCCCTGAAGTGGGCTGCACCGTTTCGGTATTCAAAGTCTCTACAAAGTTTTTTTGCGCCGGGCTTTTTCAAGCCACATTTCCCTGACTTAAACTCACTTTGTCTCGCATGAGGAGACGCGGATAAAGGCGTGTGAAGTTGCGTGAATTGATATGTTTCGGTGTACCTTATAAATTCATACCTTTTCTCACTCGAGCGCCTCAGAAAGAACGTGTCAGTCAGGCCGATTCTCTCTGCTGTCCAACGCATTTAGCAGGAGATCTATTTGAGGAGTTCATTCCTAGGCAAATGTATGCAGGCCGGGCTCTGCGTGAATAGAGCAGCGTGTCAGCCGACCCTAATTGGGATTTAGCCACCCAAAGCATATGCACAAAGTGACAGAGAATCACAGGTTTCAAAGAAAGTCGCAACTTTTGCCCTTCTTGGTGAATATGTGGAGCTCTTTCCCTCAGCTCGGAGTAAAACTGCATTTTTCTTATGGGATGAAGGTTAGTGACCCAATTGGCTATGCGGTGTGTATCTGCAAACTAAAAGCGTGAGCAAAACAACTCTAATGGCAAAGAGCAGGTTTAAAGACATGTAACCTCTACTGGCCTATATGTTTGAATAAGGCCGGATATTTTAGCCGGAGTCATGGTTATTATCTGAACAAATATGAATATAAATGCATTGCTTTCTTTCCTTTTCATTTCTTTTTTAAGACATTAAAAATAGAATTTCTAAAAGGAGTTTTGTACACATTTTGTTGGAATATAATAATAATAATAATAATAATAATAATAATAATAATAATAATAATAATAATAATAATAATTTGTGTTTTAAATAAACAACTGCGTCACATTTGTTGATCTGAATTTTTTTTTTTTCAAGGAATGCTTTTTGACAAATCACTCTTTGCGTCTGCGAAACCAGGATTATGTAGGCCTATACGATTCGGCTAATTTAAGTTTCATTTATCTATTTATTTTAATTATAAGACCACACTTGTCTCTTCCCTGCAGACGGAGGACCATGGAGAGCTCCGCTTTAACAGACAAGGGAGGGTGCTTGTCTGGTAATTATATTGATAACAAATTCCGTCCCATCACACTGATTAGAAGTGCATTTATCTCCCTGAACTTAAGCCTAAATATAAAGGCGGATTTATATCTACACGTATACATCGTTAGGGTTGGATGCACATCAATAATTCGCTGTAACAAAATGTAATCTAATGATATGACTGTCTCTCG